GAGGACGAGGGTTGATGTGGATCGGGAGATGACGATTGAATCAGGAAGAAAGCCCTTTTGCGAGTAAGCGGAGCATGTGCACAAGCGAAAGGAGGAGGCAGTCTGCGATCGGAGGAAGTCATGATGAGTCTCTACGATGCGAGCGGGCTTTTATGCGGAAGAAGGACAAAGGAACATAGATTGGAGTCATCCCGCCTTCGCTTCGGAGGCATGTATTCTGCGTTAAAGGGTGGTGCGTACCATTGTTCAGCTCGATTCCCTACTATCCCTGGCGTGTTTGTCTAAGGGGGGTCGTATACTCAGCGCAGGAGCCTGGGGCGTGTCGTCCGGGATAATCTTGCCATGAGCTTGATTCCTTTGTTCGCTGACAATCAATCATTGAGTCTCAGTCGCCCAACCCGTGGACTTATGGGTCGTTGTGATAACTGAGGTCGAGATGAAATACTTTGCTTAGTACTGTTCTACGAAAATGCGTAAGCGAGGCCATTCCTAGCTAACAAGCGCATGTTCCGATGGAGTGCTCGGCAAGATCAGCTGGCTGAGGTTCTGAGGACCTGCTGTGGTCCCTTATAACCGGTTTGCATTATCTTCAACGTTCAAGATACGACGCCACACGTAGCCCCATTCCCGCCGCGCCCGACACGCGACGCGACTTTCTCTTCGCCACACATCTGTTTGTCTCACCACGACGCTTTGGAAGTTAAACAAGTTGCGCTTGCCTCGTCCATTGATATACTCCTATGTCATCCAACGACTCTGGGAAATCATCTGCACTCTATGTCGACGTCAGCTCATCGGCAGTCCCATGTTCTGACTTGCAGCCCGACAAAGAATTCTGGTTTGAAGACGGGAACATAGTGCTGGGTGTCGAGACGACTGCGTTCCGCGTACACAGGTCCTTACTTTCGCGCAGCTCAGACGTCTTTCGAGACATGTTTGATATTCCTCAGCCTGAAAATGTGGACGTTTGGCGCATGTCCATTCGTGCGCCTGTCTGATCGAGCGAAGGATATACGAGGGGTGCTGCGCGCTCTGTATGATGGACATAGGTACGCCCTCGATTTAGATCGATGTACCGAATACGTCTTATATTATAATTGTTATAGATTTATGGCCACTGATATGAAATGTATTTTATTTTCGAGGTTGGCTGCTCTCATCCGCCTCGGCCATAAATACGAGATGGGAGGTCTTCGGGATGCCGCGCTCAGCCAGTTGAAAACCTGCTTTCCGAGCACACTAGAGGAATGGGATACGGTTTGTGCCAACAGCGGGAGCAAAAGCGTCAAATTTGGTAATCAAGATCAAAACGGTTTTCTAGCAGTTAAGCTCGCACGCCTGACAAACACTCCCAATATCCTTCCACTTGCTTTATATTTGTGCTGCCAAATGGACACTGGGAATATCATCAGAGGTTGCCAATTAGAAGACGGATCATTCGAACGACTTGATATGGAAGATATTCAACGCATCATCGCCGGGCAGACACTGCTTGCACATCTGGGTGGCAAGCTTTTGATACGCGTCTACCAACCTCGGATCAGTGCGAACTGTACCAGCCGTTTTGTGTGTGTAGAGGTCCTCTCCGAATTCTGGGGATATCTTCTCAAAACCTTCGACATGAGACTGACACCCTGTCTGAACCTGTTGGATGTGCACTGGAAGGAGATCTACGAGATAAGACTGCGGCAAGGTGGGCTATGTCTTGCCTGTGGGTTTGAGATGAAGAAAAGGGTTCAAACAGAACGTCAAACTTTCTGGGATACGCTCAAAACTTATTTCGAGCTCGAGAGGGAAAGCGACTGACCTGAGCGTGTGGTGTGTCAGGAACTATACGCTGTACAACAGACTTGTATACGAAATAACGTTTTGACTGGCGCTAATCGGCAGTTT